CACAGTAATGATTCACAGTACTGATACCTGGTACTGATACACAGTAATGATACACAGTACTGATACAGTACTCATACACAGTAATGATACACAGTACTGATACACAGTATGATACACAGTAATGATACACAGTATGATTCACATTTAATGATACACAGTACTGATACACAGTACTGATACACAGTAATGATACACAGTACTGATACACAGTACTGATACACAGTAATGATAGATAGTACTGATACACAGTAATGATTCACTGTACTGATACCTGGTACTGATACACAGTACTGATACACAGTACTGATACACAGTACTGATACACAGTATTGATGCACAGTAATGATACTCAGTACTGATGCCTGGTACTGATACACAGTAATGATACACAGTAATGGTACACAGTAATGATACACAGTACTGATACACAGTAATGATACACAGTACTGATACACAGTAATGATACAAAGTACTGATACACAGTAATGATACACAGTAATGATACACAGTAATGATACACAGTACTGATGCACAGTAATGATACACAGTAATGATACACAGTACTGATACACAGTACTGATACACAGTACTGATACACAGTATTGATACACAGTAATGATACACAGTACTGATACCTGGTACTGATACACAGTTATGGTACACAGTACTGATACACAGTAATGATACACAGTACTGATACACAGTAATGATTCACAGTACTGATACACAGTAATGATACATAATACTGATACACAGTAATGATACACAGTACTGATACCTGGTACTGATACACAGTAATGATACACAATAATGATACACAGTAATGATACACAGTAATGATACACAGTAATGATACACAGTGCTGATACACAGTAATGATACACAGTAATGATACACAGTGCTGATACACAGTAATGATACACAGTAATGATACACAGTGCTGATACACAGTAATGATACACAGTAATGATACACAGTGCTGATACACAGTAATGATACACAGTACTGATACCTGGTACTGATACACAGTAATGATACACAGTAATGATACACAGTACTGATACACAGTAATGATACACAGTAATGATACACAGTGCTGATACACAGTAATGATACACAGTACTGATACACAGTATTGATACACAGTAATTCACAGTACTGATACCTGGTACTGATACACAGTAATGATACACAGTAATGATACACAGTACTGATACACAGTAATGATACACAGTAATGATACACAGTACTGATACACAGTAATGATACACAGGACTGATACACAGTAATGATACACAGTAATGATACACAGTACTGATACACAGTAAAGAGAACACAGTACTGATACACAGTAATGATACACAGTACTGATACACAGTACTGATACACATTAATGATACACTGTACTGATACCTCGTACTGACACACAGTACTGATACACAGTAATGATACACAGTTCTGATACACAGTACTGATACACAGTACTAATACACAGTAGTGATGCACAGTACTGATACACAGTACTGATACACAGTACTGATGCACAGTACTGATACACAGTACTGATACACAGTACTGATGCACAGTACTGATACACAGTACAGATACACAGTAATGATGCACAGTACTGATTCACAGTAATGATGCACAGTAATGATACACAGTACTGATACCCAGTACTGATACCTGGTACTGATACATAGTAATGATACACAGTAATGATACACAGTACTGATACACAGTAATGATACACAGTGCTGATACACAGTACTGATACACAGTAATGATACACAGTACTGATACACAGTAATGATACACAGTGCTGATACACAGTACTGATACACAGTACTGATACACAGTACTGATACACAGGACTGATACACAGTAATGATACACAGTACTGATACACAGTACTGATACACAGTAATGATACACAGTACTGATACACAGTACTGATACACAGTACTGATACCTGGTACTGATACACAGTAATGATACACATTACTGATACAGTACTAATACACAATAATGATACACAGTACTGATACACAGTACTGATACACAGTAATGATACACAGTACTGATACACAGTAATGATACATAGTACTGATACACAGTAAAGAGAACACAGTACTGATACACAGTAATGATACACAATACTGATACACAGTACTGATACACAGTAATGATAGACTGTACTGATACACAGTAATGATACACTGTACTGATACCTGGTACTGATACACAGTACTGATACACAGTACTGATACACAGTATTGATACACAGTAATGATACACAGTACTGATACACAGTAATGATACGCAGTACTGATACACAGTAATGATACACAGTACTGATACGCAGTAATGATACACAGTACTGATACACAGTAATGATACACAGTACTGATGCACAGTAATGATACACAGTAATGATACACAGTACTGATACACAGTACTGATACACAGTATTGATACACAGTAATGATACACAGTACTGATACCTGGTACTGATACACAGTAATGATACACAGTACTGATGCACAGTAATGATACACAGTACTGATACACAGTAATGATACACCGTACTGATACACAGTATTGGTACACAGTAATGATACACAGTACTGATACCTGGTACTGATACACAGTAATGATACACATTAATGATACACAGTAATGATACACAGTAATGATACACAGTACTGATACACAGTAATGATGCACAGTAATGATACACAGTAATGATACACAGTACTGATACACAGTATTGATACACAGTAATACACAGTACTGATACCTGGTACTGATACACAGTAATGATACACAGTACTGATACCTTGTACTGATACACAGTAATGATACACAGTAATGATACCCAGTACTAAATCCCACAGTAATGTAACAGTAAATGATACACAGTAATGATACACAGTATTGATACACGTAATGATACACAGTACTGATACACAGTAATGATACACAGTACTGATACACAGTAATGATACACAGTACTGATACACAGTATTGGTACACAGTAATGATACACAGTACTGATACCTGGTACTGATACAGAGTAATGATACACAATAATGATACACAGTAATGATACACAGTTCTGATACACAGTACTGATACACAGTAATGATAGACAGTAATGATACAGAGTAATGATACACAGTACTGATACACAGTATTGATACACAGTAATACACAGTACTGATACCTGGTACTGATACACAGTAATGATAAACAGTACTGATACCTGGTACTGATACACAGTAATGATACACATTAATGATACACAGTACTGATACACAGTAATGATACACAGTACTGATACACAGTAATGATACACAGTAATGATACACAGTAATGATACACAGTACTGATACACAGTAATGATACACTAATGATACACAGTACTGATACACAGTAATGATACACAGTACTGATACACAGTACTGATACAAAGTATTGATACACAGTAATGATACACAGTAATGATACACATTACTGATACACAGTATTGATACACAGTAATGATACACAGTAATGATACACAGTACTGATACACGGTAATGTTTACACAGTAATGATACACAGAAATTTGATACACAGTAATGATACACAGTATTGATACACAGTAATGATACACAGTAACTGATACCACGTAATGATACACAGAAAATGATACACAGTACTGATACACAGTAATGAAAACACACTAATGATACACAGTACTGGTACACAGTAATGATACACAGTAATGATACACAGTAATGATACACAGTTTTGATACACAGTAATGATACACAGTACTGATACACAGTAATGATACACAGTAATGTTACACAGTAATGATACACGGTAATGATACACAGTACTGATACACAGTAATGATACACAGTACTGATACACAGTATAGATACACAGTAATACACAGTACTGTTTACCTGGTACTGATACCATAATGATCCCCAGTACTGATACCTGGTACTGATACACAGTAATGATACACAGTAATGATACACAGTACTGATACACAGTAATGATACACAGTACTGATACACAGTAATGATACACAGTAATGATACACAGTAATGATACTCAGTACTGATACACAGTAATGATACACAGTACTGATACACAGTAATGGTACACAGTAATGATACACAGTAATGATACACAGTATGATACAAAAGTAATGATCCCACACTAATGATACACAGTACTGGTACACAGTAATGATACACAGTAATGATACACAGTAATGATACACAGTTTTGATTCACAGTAATGATACACAGTACTGATACACAGTAATGATACACAGTAATGATACACGGTAATGATACACAGTACTGATACACAGTAATGATACCCCAGTACTGATACACATTTAGATACACAGTAATACACAGTACTGATACCTGGTACTGATACACAGTAATGATACACAGTACTGATACCTGGTACTGATACACAGTAATGATACACAGTAATGATACACAGTACTGATACACAGTAATGATACACAGTACTGATACACAGTAATGATACACAGTAATGATACTCATTACTGATACACAGTAATGATACACAGTACTGATACACAGTAATGGTACACAGTAATGATACACAGTACTGATACCCAGTATTGATACACAGTAATGATACACAGTAATGATACACAGTAATGATACACAGTAATGATACACAGTAATGATACACAGTAATGATACACTGTATTGATACACAGTAATGATACACAGTACTGATACACAGTAATGATACACAGTAATGATACACAGTAATGATACACGGTAATGATACACAGTACTGATACACAGTATTGATACTCAGTAATGATACACAGTTATTTGTGGAAAAACCTAGCTGCAAGTTAGGTTTTACACCTCTCTCAAAAACAATGTTATATTTTTGTTGTTATATTTTATTGGTTATTAACAAAGACTGGCACTGTGCCTGGCAGATGCCGTGTATTACACTGGTTGGTTCCATCATGTGGTTTGGTGAGCGATATATTCCATCTGTAGCACCTACACTGAGTCAACTTTTTGATAACAAGACACAAGACATGTTACTGAGCCACAGGACCAGCCACCTAGTGAACAAGGCTCAAACTATCACCAGGGAAGCTCAGACAGTCAACCTCCAGGTAAATGATCTTACTTATAATTTTTAATATATAGATGCTCCTCAACTAGCAATATTTCCACTTTACAATGGTGCAAAGGCAGTTACTTTGGAGATGAAATTTTAAGATAATTACCAAGCATGAAGGCAGCAAGTCTGTAACTTGTATTCATTTATTTGTTTTTCAATGCTGCTTTTTTTTTTTTATTTTACTAACGATCATGCCATATCCCACCAAGGAAGGGTGACCTAAAAAGAAAAACAAAAGTTTCTCTTTATAGCTTTAGTAATGTATACAGGAGAAGGGGTTACTAGCCCCTCGCTCCCGGTATTTTGGTCAACTCTTATGACACGCGTGACTTACCGAGGAAAAATTCTGTTCCTCTTCCCCATGGAGCGGTATTTAGCCCTTTCAGGGTCCAAGGCCAAAATCTGAAGTCACGCACCAGTGTCCAAGAAATTTTGAAAAAAAAAAAAAATATTTTTTTCTTACAGAATTAAAGAGCATATTTTTGTGAAGGTAATAAAACAAAAAAAATTAGAATCTGATCAGTACTTACCGAGATACAGTGCCAAGAAGTTTGTAGAAAATGATGTGGTGGCGGCAACATCGACGAATTCCACATACGCGTATTATATTATTTTGTTGTTTTAGTTGTTTTTTCTTTTCTTTTCCAATTTTTTTCTATTCCTACAAACATTTGGGGCCTGAGAGCCCAAATACTGTATTAATTTATATATATAAACTCACTGTATTTGAACACAATAACCGCACTAAAGTTATTTATCTTATTATTGTTTTCCACTGTTGTTTATTACAATAAACATGCACAAATATTGTATAATACTAATGTTCTATCATATATTTATATTCACAATCACTGGTATGGTTTTAGAACTGCTGGAGCTTGTGGAACTCCTTGAAACAAGGCCCCATGCACAGAGGCACCTTACATTCCTCACACAAAAAAACCGAGTGTCTTTTGCGTCTTTGTTGCCGTCGTTTTGTTTGTGCACAGACAAGCATCTCTTTGAGCAAATTTCTTTTGAGTTGAAGGAAGCTGTATTATGAAATGATCCCCTTCTCTTCTCAAACGCTTGGGTATATTGTGATGAATTCGAGGACCATGTTGTATTGCAGGTGTTGTTACCTGGTACTTCATTATGAGTTGTCTGACAACAGACAAACAAAATTCACCATACGGTGGTCTGTTACCAGTCTTTATTTGGTACTTATTATATGCATTCAGCATTGAAATTGTCCATGAGATGGAAGAAAAGTTTCTTGTACCACTTGTAACTTTTTACGAACACAGTCAAAAAAACCAATCTGCATGTCACACTTGTCAACCAAGCGCATGTTTTGTGTATAATCAATCACTGTCACTGGTTTTCGAATACGTTTCATTAGTCACTCGACATCAACTTTGCCACTCCTTGCATTTCATACGGTTGAATGGTTGTCAACAATGTGGACATCTCGTTTTGTAAATGCCACCATTAATGCCATGATGTCATTGGAAAGTTAAAAACCCCACCTGCACGTCATCACCCCACCCGAACACCTGCGTTTCCTGGGCATATGTTTACGATTTTTTGAACCACTGTGCCAACACATCTGTCTTGTTCACTCGCATGAAATCATGAGTAATGGGCTTGTGTACCATTATCGTATATATGTAGGGCCCTTTACCAAGATAAGTGCATCATGTTTCTCACTCGTCACCTGATTCCCCAATAACTCTTGGTATCTTTCATGTTTTATACACGTGTATACAACAATATCCAACCCCAGGCCACTGTCGCAATCACAGTACAAACAATTTTATCCCAAAGCGGTTCTCTTGTTTTTGGTATATACTGCTTGAATGACATTTCTACCTTTGAACAAAATCAAAGATCCAATTACAGATTCTTAATGGATAATTTATATCCTGAACTTTTGTTTTGAGATCATGAAAACATTCTAATCTTGTTTTAACCTGTCATTCTGTCAGGCCTGGTTTTGTCAGAGAAGTGCAACATACGTAAGAGTAAGATAAACCTGTTCACTGGTATTATTTTCACTGAAGGATGGGGTACAAAATTAGCCGATCTGTGGGACCAGTATGCTTTTATATTATGCTTATAGACGTGAGGCATAAGCATTATTGTTGCAAAAAGCAAATACATTTCTGCAACAGTCGTCTCTTTCCACCTGTGTAGTCTTGACTGTGGTGATAAGATCGTATTTGCCATGGTGTACTGAAAATACTTTTTATTTTCCCCTGACAATAGTTTCCATCAATGGCTGGTAAAAAGAATAATTAAAAGGGAATTCCAGTTCATTGGCCGTGGTTCCAAGGGGACAGGTAGGTAGAATTCCACTTTGCGAGTCATCCAAAGTGGTGAGGGCTGGGAACAAAATTGGGAAATTTTTCTGCCAATTCCCCAGATACGGGGTTTTCTGGTGGATACTGGACATCATAGGCTGGTTGTACGGGTGGTTGTGGCGGGCTGGTGGGTGACGCTCCTCTTTGTCCCTTTAACTGACGAGTCAGCAGGTGGGTTCCCGCGTGGCACAGCGAGTCACGCATGGCGGTGCCACTTTCCACCACCAGCCCCACTAACACCATCCACTGATGTCTGTGGCCCATCCATGCCAAGTGTAGCCACATCATCCTCACTATCACTACCTAAAACGGGTTTTTGGGCCACGGGATGTACTACGGGATGTACTCCGTCCCCTGGGCATAGCATAGGGTCACTACCCGAGCGCATGCGGCGGCGCACATACGACACTTCATGGTGAGAATATGTTTCCTCACTATCACTACTCGAATGATCGTCGAGCGCAATAAATCACAATCCACGTCAGAATCATCGTCAATTTCTGAAGTCAGAGGCCAGGCCACGGGAAAATATTAGTTTTCTCTTACGTTTAGGAACAACCGACCGTGAGTCACGAGTGCCCCCAAACCCGAGGTAGAAGGTCGAGGATCGTTTGGGGTTTTCTGCACTATTATCGATATTTCCCGGTCATTATTTTCGGCACTAACTCATCAAGCCGTAGAATTCGTCTTCATTTTTCCCCTTCCATCAGTGTCAGAACTATCAGACAGGAAGAGGAGAGTCCCAATTTTCCGGGGAGTCAGAGCTGACTTGCGACGAGACATGGTGAACAAGGGTGACTGAGCCGGCGTTCCCACAATGCTATGCAGGCGCCTAGATTTTTTGTTTACGGCGCACACCCACCGCGCAGACCCATTCTCTCATATGTAGGCCTATGAGCGCTTTCGCGCTAAATTTGACGGCGCTAGAATTTTGGCGTAGATCTACGGTTTGGACACTCACCGACCAGCCGTAGATCTACGGGACGGACCCTGAAAGGGTTAGTTAATACAGTAATTATTTGGTTATTCGAACTTAATCTGTTCCAGGAAGCTGTTCGAATAGTGAGTTGTATGAATATTGAATTTATTTTTCCCTTAAATAATGTAAATTGGATCAATCCATTCCAGAACCCAAAAATTACCAATTACAACCTCTCCTCACTGATTAACATACTCTTTTACCGATGACTTGGACTTACGACGGGCTCTCTGATCAGTATGCATACCTAAATAATGTATATTACAGCTGATTTCCTCTATTCTTTTTATTACAATTACAGTACATTCCAGTATAAACATCAAAAATATACCAGAAATGTTATAAATGGTGCAAAGGTGACATTAAATCAATATCAAAGATGATTGGCACAAATCCAGTACCATTATAGTATGCTCCTCACTTAGCCACGGATTTGTGAACCGATGTGGTCTTATGAACGGAACTCCATCGTTAAGTGAGGAGAGGCTGTGTTACAAAACTATCTATGTGTATAAACTCAGGGTTAGTCATAATGAATGACTGTCAGTGAATAAGCAGAAGTATGACTGGGGACTCAAACTGTGGTCCTGGCATGTAGCAGGTCAGTGTTGTTCCTTCTTGTAATTACCAGAAAATTATTATCACAGAGATCCACTGGATGGATGGTAGAGGACAAAAGTCGGGTTGCTGGTGTCAGAGCAGGGCTACTGGATGTAGTCTTCTTAACACTGTTGTAGTCTTCTTAACACTGTTGTAGTCTTCTTAACACTAGATGTAGTCTTCTTAACACTGGTTGTAGTCTTCTTAACAATGGATGTAGTCTTCTTAACATTGGTTGTAGTCTTCTTAACATTGGATGTAGTCTTCTTAACACTGGATGTAGTCTTCTTAACACTGGTTGTAGTCTTCTTAACACTGGATGTAGTCTTCTTAACACTGGATGTAGTCTTCTTACTACTAGATGTAGTCTTCTTACTACTAGATGCAGTCTTCTTACTACTAGATGTAGTCTTCTTACTACTAGATGTAGTCTTCTTACTACTAGATGCAGTCTTACTACTGGATGTAATCTTCTTACTGCTTGATGTAGTCTTACTACTGGATGTAGCCTTCTTATTACTAGATGCAGTCTTCTTACTACTAGATGTAGTCTTCTTACTGCTGGATAGTCTTCTTACTACTAGATATAGTCTTCTTACTACTAGATGTAGTCTTCTTACTACTAGATGTAGTCTTCTTGCTACTAGATGTAGTCTTCTTTTATTGGATGTAGTCTTCTTACTACTGGATGTAGTCTTCTTACTACTGGATGTAGTCTTCTTACGACTAGATGTAGTCTTTTTACGAAAACGGCAAATATATAATAGCTAAATTCATATCAAGAACACTTAAGAAACCTGTAGCCAACCACCTTAGACCCTTAATAATCTAACAAAATGCTGCTGTGTGCGTGATAATCAGCTCCTCTGCTAGACAGCACACCCCACCACTTTTCAAAAGACTCAACTTGCTAAATATACAAGACATACACTCTTATTTTAGACTCCACTGTAAACCCCCCCTAAAACTACTCGACAATTACAACAGAATGCACAGTCACAATACAAGGCATGACGCACTTTTCAATATCCCTCGAGTAAGACTCTCACTATGCAAGCACGCTATGCACAT